ATTTGTAAGTTTTGGCACCTCCCTTGCCCAGCTGATAGACCTTTCCATGGAGCTCACTTCTGGCAGATGGTCCCCGGCAAAGCTAACCAACTGAATCCGATAGCTCCGCTGGTGGTTCCACCTGTTTTCTTGGTTGCTGGCAAAATGGAGATATCTGGGGATGTTGGAGTGAAGTGGGAATGCAGCCTGGTTCTCTTTCTCTAAGACTTTCTTGGTGAGCCGTGGACGCTGTATCTGGTGTTGGGGGCTCCAGGGAGCCTGCACCAACTCAAATACCATATCCTGGGCCACCAGAGAATTCTTAAGCCCTACAAAGCAAAGATAGACTCTGAGTAATGACTGTGTTGGGCTTCCACTGCTCTTAAGCATCTTACCCTTGGCTTGCATAGGCTCCCTGGGCTCCTACAGCTCTCAAGCATCAGGTCCCTGGTTTGCATAGGGAGGCTGAGGAGAGAACCGTTGTGGAAGAAAACAGTCCTCAAATGAGACCAGATGGAGCAGCTGGGCGCTTCCTGGGCACTCAGTATACTGGGGCAGGAAGTCTTTTAGGGCAGGATTTTATTGCCCTTTGTGTGCCTAAAAGAGTTTTCGAGGTGCATAAGGGGTCTGCTTGGCAGATATGCAAAAGCTGTAATTGTATTACACCTGAAATATGGATATATAAGCATACCTGGATGGTACGGTGGCCATCATAGAGGACAGTCCAGTTGTTCTCTGTCCTCTATTGATACGAAACCAGATGCCTTTATGTCCTCTGTTTTTCTCTTGAAGAAAAAAATAGAAGACATAATGGCATAGGGTTTCATATCAATACAGGACAGAGTAGCAGAAAACTGGAATGCCCTCTATTTTGGCCACCCTACTGCATGGACTGAGCATGTACAATAGGCAACACACAGGCTGGGAAAGGATGCAGCTGTGTACATGCATGCCTGAGTATAAGTCCTGGAAAGAAGAATAGAAGTAGGGAGGGCCTCCACTTTTTTTGCTCCAGTAAGCTGTGTGGTTGGGTCACTTGCCTAGAAAGGACCCAGGTTCTAGATCCTCCCCCTCAAGAGGGAGATGGGGGAGTTAACCTGTACCCCTCTGACTTCCTAGGGCAATGTTTTAACCACCGCACCTTGGGTCAGCCATTAAGCAGGAAT